CTGCTCCCTGTAGCAAAGCGCCCCCTGCTGAGCCCCTGCCACGCTCCCTGCAGCACAGCGCCTCCTGCTGAGCCCCGCTCCCCGCAGCCCAGCGCCCTCTGCTGAGCCCCTGCCCTGGTTCACACCGCCACCTCATGCCGCATTCCTGTGTGTGCTGTATAAGGGGACCTACCTGGGCGGGAGTGCCCCCTAGGCCGGTGTTGGGGTCTCCGCTACTCGCTGTGCCCGTGGTCCACTGGATCGTGCCATAGTTCAGCATGATGAAGGTGACTTTGCCGTCATTTGCCAGCACAGCCTGAAATGTGTTCACCTGCAGTGGAGAGGGAAGGGACCTGGGTGAATCAGTCTGGGAGGTGGGAGGGGACTCCTGCGTGGGGGGGCTGTGGGAGGGCAAGGCCAGGTGCCTGGGGAAGGCTGGCCCACGGGGTATTCCATCCAGGCTGTGCTACGTATTGCTGCCAATGAAACCCACTGGTCAGTAGGTGGGATAGATTCATCTATGGGGTGACCCCTAGTGGTGACCAGAGGAGCTGCACAGGTGCAGGAAGCGATTCTGCTAGCCAGTCCCCTGGAGCGCCCCCTAGTGGCGAACATGGGCAATGCAGCCTGGGAGCTGCACAGCAGCAGGAACCATAGGGTACTGTCTGGGTCCAGCAGCCCCACTAGCCAGTCTCCCTTCCTCTCTCTCCCCTGCCCCTAGGAGCTCGGCGGGGGCCTTGGGGAATGAGGCGCCACATACCTTCTGGGAGGTAGAGCCGTAGTAGGCCACACGGTCCCAGGTGGCCACGAAGGCCCATGTGGCAGTGAAGGGGATCTCCGGGAAGTACTGGTTGATGTCTCTGGTGAGGCGGCGCAGCAGCTCGGGGTTCTGGGTCTCCCGGTAGTAGATCTCCCCACCCAGGTTGTTGTTCACATCGCCCCAGTAGGGGGCCACAAAGGGTCGGCCATCAGCCAAGGGGAAGGGGTCGGGGGTGTACTGGGAGACGGACACGCCGAAGGACACCACGCCATTGTTGTTCACCTGTGGGGGTGGGGAGCAGAGTGGTGGATGTAGGAACACAGCAGAGCATGGCTAACCCCCTCCTTGCAGCACAGCACCCCCTACTGAGCTCCCCGTCCTGCTCCCCAAAGCACAGTATCCTCTGATGAGCCCCTGTCCCATTCCCCACAACATGGTGCCCCCTGCTGAGGCTTGCACCCACCCCCAATGCCCAATGGGATGTGAGGCACCTCAGCTGGTGATGTGGGGCACAGACACAGAGATGCATAGAGTCTAAGGCTAGGTCGGTCCATTCTGCCCACTTGCTTTGCCCTCCTACCTAACCTCGGTCTCAGAACCAAACTGGGGACCCCAGCCTCCAGCCCAGATCTGTGGGTCGAGCTAGAGTGCAGCTTTCAGAGGAAGATGCCCCAACTCCATGGAAAGACTCTGAAAGATGGAGATCCCACCCCGCCACCGGGGCAAGGGTTGGTTCCCCTCCCTAGCGCAAAGTCACCCCTCATTTCCAGCCTGGATTTGTCCAGCTTCATCTCCCAGCCATCGGCTCTCACTCTGCCGGGTCTGCTGGGTTCAGGAGCTCTCTGCACTGAGCAAGCTCCTCCCCAGGTAGGTACTGATAGACCGGGATCAAATCCCCTCTTGGCCTTCTGCGTAGGGTTACCATATTTTCATTTTAAAAAGGAGGACACTCCACGGGGCCCCGGCCCCGCCCCAACTCCGCCCCGGCCCCGCCCCAACTCCGCCCCTTCCCCCCAAAGTCCCCGCCCCAATTCTGCCCCCTCCCCTGAACGCTCCGCCCCCTGCTCCTCCCCCTCCCCTGCTTCCCGCGAATCAAATGTTCGCCGGAAGCCTGAAACAGGGAGGCAACAGGGAGGCAGCAGGTAAGCTGGGGCTGGGGCAGGGCGTGGCCGAGTGGCCCAGGCCAAGAGGCTCTGGCCCCGGCGTCTCACGCCCGGCTCGGCTCCGGCCCTGGCCCAACACCCCCGGCCGAGCACCGCCGGCCCCACCCCCGGCTGAGCACCCCCGGGCCAGCTCACGACCCCCCGTGTAATAACCTTGTGACCCCCTGAGAGGTCCCGAACCCCAGTTTGAGAACCCCTGGCCTAAGCCCTAAGAACAGGGTAAGAGTGGGTGCCCTAGAGTGTAAGAATAGGCCTGAGCCCAAGGAAGGGTAAGGGTGGGTACCTACATGAAGAGGGTTATGCCTTGATCCTGAGGAATTAGTTAGAGGTGGGTGCCCTAAAGTGTGCATGTGTCAGAGAATTTTGTGCGGGAAACAGCATGGATCGATAGCTAGCCCTGTGTGGCACCCTATTGCTGGCTGCCTGTGATCCGTGTGCCTTGGGGTTGGCGGTGGGATCGGCCCTGCTGTACGTACATAGAGGGAACGGTGCTCCTTGCCATAGAAGGTGAAGGTCATGGAGATGGGGATCTCCGGTGATGCCCCATCGTCAACTTTGGGGTTCTGCTGGTCGCCCTGGGTTGGTCCATAGGGATACAGCAGGGTGTCTGGGGTGGGGAGAACGTGCCTTGTGAGAGCCCAGAGCACCTCCTCCCCCGTTGGGTCCCATTGCCCCCCGGAGAACCACCTCCCACCTCATCCCCAGCCTGATGCCCTTTGGGATCAGCAGTGTCCCCGTGTGGTATCAGGAGCTGTTTTGGGAGAGCTCCCCATTGGCCTTTGTATTCCAGAGCCATGCTGAAACAAACCAAGTCCCCCCAATCCTCACCCTGATCCTCCCCATCCATAACATAGCCATCCACCCCGATTCTCCACCCCACCCCCAATACAGGCCCCTACCCTGATCTTCCCCCCTCACTCCATCCCTAACATAGCCCCTGACCTGATCCCCACCCTGATTCTCCAACCACCACTAATACAGGCCCCTACCCCAATCCCCACACCTAACACATCCCCCCACCTTGATTCTCCAACCACCCCTAATACAGGCCCCTACCCTGTCCAGTTTTGGGCCCCACACTACAAGAAGGATCTGGAAAAATTGGAAAGAGTCCAGTGGAGGGCAACAAAAATGCTTAGGGGGCTGGAGCAGATGACTTATGAGGAGAAGCTGAGGGAACTGGGACTGTTTAGTCTCCAGAAGAGAAGAATGAGGGGGGATTTGATAGCTGCTTTCAACTACCTGAAAGGGGATTCCAAAGAGGATGGAGCTCAGCTGTTCTCAGTGGTGTCAGATGACAGAACAAGGAGTAGTGGTCTCAAGTTGCAGTGGGGGAGGTTTAGGTTGGGTATTTGGAAAAACTTTTTCACTAGAGGGGGGTGAAGCACTGGAATGGGTTACCTAGAGAGGTGGTGGAATCTCCTTCCTTAGAGGTTTTTAAGGTCAGGCTTGACAAAGCCCTGGCTGGGATGATTTAATTGGTGTTGGTCCTGCTTTGAGCAGGGGGTTGAACTAGATGATCTCCTGAGATCCCTTCCAACCCTGACATTCTATGATTCTATAATTCTATGATCTTCCCCCCCACGCTATCCCTAACATAGCCCCCGACCCGATCCCCACCCTGATTCAACCACACCTAATACAGGCCTTTACCTCAATCCCCACCCCAACACAACCCCCACCCTGATTCTCCACCCCCACCCCTTATAAAAGCCCCTACCCTGATCCCGATGCCACCTTGATTTCCCACCCCTAACATATCCCCCTACCCCAATTCTCCACTCCATCCCAATACAGCCCCCACCTTGATCCTCAGCTAGGGTTGCCAACTTTATAATTGCACAAAATCAAACACCTTTGCCCCATCCCCCACCCTGCCCATCTTCTCTGAGGCCCTGTCCCTTCTCTGAGGCCTGGCATCCACTCACTCTGTCCCCACTCCCTTTGTCACTCACTCTCCCTCACCCTCATTCATTTTCACTGGGCTGGGGCAGAGAGTCGGGTTGCGGGCTCCAGCCAGGTAGCGCTTACCTCAGATGGCTCCCGGTTGGTAACACAGTGAGGTGGGAGAGGTAAGGGCTCCAGCTGGGGGTGCAGGCTTCGGGCTGGGGCCAGAATTGAGGGGTTCAGGGTGTGGGAGGTGGCTCCTGCCTGGGGCAGGGGGTTGGGGTGTGGGAGGAGGTGAGGGCTCTGGCTGGTGATGTGGGCTCTGGGGTGAGAATGGGTATGAGGGGTTTGGGGGGCAGGAAGGGGCTCTGGGCTGGGGTATGGGGTTGGGGTGCGGGAGGGGGTGCAGGGTGCAGGCTCTGGGAGGGAGTTTGGGTGTGGGAGGGGGTTCCAACCAGGGCAGGGGGTTGGGATGCAAGAGGCAGTTTGGGGTGTGGGCTCCGGCTGGCCGGCGCTTACCTCAGGCGGCTCCTGGTCGGTGACGCAGCGGGGCTAAGACAGGCTTCCTGCCTGCCCTGGCTCCACGCTGCTCCTGGAAGCAGCTGGCATGTTCCCCCTCCGGCTCCTAGGCATAGGCCTGGCCAGGTGGCTCTGTGTGGTGCACACTGCCTGTGCCTGCAGACACCGCCACCACAGCTCCCATTGGCCACAGTTCACAGCCAATGGGAGCTGCGCGGAGCTGGTGGGGGCAGCACGTGGAACTTCCCTGATTGCCTCTGCACCTAGGGGCCAGACATGTTGGCTGCTTCCAGGGAGCTGCAAAGAACCAGGGCAGACAGGGAGCCTGCCTTAGCCCCACTGCGCCGCCTACCGGACTTTTAACAGCCTGGTCAGTGGTGCTGACCGGAGCCGCCAGGGTCCCTTTTTGACCAGGTGTTCCCATCAAAAAACGGACACTTGGCTACCCCACTCCTCCCTCCCCATCCCTAACATACCCCCCAACTTGAACTCCACCCTGATTCTCTACCCTTGCCTAATACAGGCCCCTACCCCAATCCTCACCCTGAACCTCCCAATCCCTAACATAGCCCCCCACCCGATTCCCACCCCAATTCTCCACCCACCCCTAATACAGGCCCTACCCCAATCCTCACCCCTAACACAGCCCCCCTCCCTGATTCTCCACCCCCACCCCTAATACAGGCCTCTACCCCAATCCTCACCCTGAACCTCCCTATCCCTAACATAGCCACACCCCGATTCTCCAGTCCCACGTCTAATACAGGCCCGTACCCCAATCCCCACCCCAACACAGCCCCCCACTCTGATGCTCCACCCCAATCCTAATACAGGCCCCTACTTCGATCCTCACCCCTCTCTCCCCATCCCTAACATAGCCCCCAATCCGATTCCTACCCTGATTCTTCATCCACACCTCTAATACAGGCCCCTACCCCGATCCCCACATCACCCATAATACAACGCCCACCCTGATTTCCCACCCCTAACACACCCCCTACCCCGATTCTCCACCCCCATTTCTAATACAGGCTCCACCTCCCACTCTGATCCCAACCTCATCCCTAATATGGGCCCCCATTCCAATCCGTTCTTACCTTCTGCCATCTCCACAGGGGCGGGCAGCACCAACCCTAGAGAGGGGAGGGAACAGACTGTCAGCCCCAGGGCACAGTGACACCAGCCCCCCACGCCCGATGGGCTCCAGACCCAGTGGTAGGCCTGGGCTCCACTCACCCAGCAGCAGCAGCAGCATGAAAGCGAGGGGGGTTTTCATCTCGGCCAGTCGCTTCGATTGGGAGCCGCTGGGTTGGGATATGCAAGTGACACAGCAGCTGGACTGCAGGGGCCAGGAGAGGGTGTTAGGGTTAGGGAAGTTAGGGTAGTTAGCTAGTGAATCAACAGGATCTAGTGACCTCGATCCCCCCATACACACCCCACTGTCTATGTCTGTACAACATCTATCTATCTATCTATCTATCTATCTATCTATCTATCCCCATACACCCCCTCTAT